GATTTTAGAATAAAAACCTCGTAAAATATTTACCGAGGATTTTGTTTAGAAAACCTTGGAAAATGAGTGACCTCGGAGTATTGGAATGATTTCCAAGGATTTTTAAAGTGTTTCCGTGGTTTGTTTTCCAAGGTTTTTAAATGAAAACCTCGGAAAGTTTCTCACAACTGGGAATACTGTTATATTTTCGAGGATTCTTACTTAAGGGCATCAGAGAATTTTCCAAGGTTTATTTGAGCAAAAACCTTGGAAATTTCTAGAATATCCATGGAAAATCAGAAAATATAACATCCAATGAAATATTCTGAAAAGAGCAATTATATTGTCCTTTTAAGGAATTGAGAAACTTCTTTGTAATAATACAGAGCAAAAAATGATCACATGACTCACTGAAACATTTAATGTCAGTGTGAAGTAAATAGTAATGCACTACAAATGAAAAGTTAAGTTAGAAGTCTTTAATGGTAAATATTACTCAATGTTCAGTTATAATATTTTGGTATCCGGTTAAATTTTAATGTATTCAAATATCTATCTTTTGAATTCCTGTTCACTCTTCATGATTTTTAAATGTCCCTTAGTTTTTCCCTCACCATCACAGGGGTCACATGTGGATAATGCTCCAGGATACAATTCCTGAAATAAATAAAGTAAACATTTAATAAAGTACAGCCATTGAAAGAAGTTAGAAAAACAATTATATAAAATCACCACTGGGCGCTTCCCTCTCCATTGGGCGCTTCCCTCTCCATGTGGTCAGGATCAAAGACTTCAAACTACTTGCCTTACAACATTGTATTTTTGACTCCTGAAGCCAGGATGGGCTTCTTCCCTCTGAGGGAGCTATCCAGCCCAGGATTAAGGAACACCTGTGGTTATACTCAGGACAGTTCAGTATGTGTAGGCAATCAGAATTACATCATTTAATTTCTTTTTTATTAATCAATAAAAAAAATAATACATTCCTTAAACGTTTCCATAGACAAAAATATCAGTTCACTGTTGATATATATTGTTTTAAAAAATCAGCACTTTTGTGAAAAGAAATACATCTTTTGAGTGATCCAAAACTGCTTGACTTACAAGTTGTTCAAGACCATTGATTAAAATGAAGGCTTTAATATTTTCAAATGACCTTTTCTGTAGTTACTTTTAAATATTGGTCTACTGTTTTGAAATAGTGAATTTAATTTTTTTCATGTTGATTTCTTATTTTCCTTCATCAGTACTTAGTGTCAGGATTTCAAGAAAACTTTGGTAAGCAGTGTGACAATTCTGCGATGTTTAGAAAAGAAACAATGTCTGTTACTATTATTTTAGATAGTGTCATACTGGATGTTACAACCTAAAGCACTCTAAAAATATTGCAAAAAATAACGCTTTTCATAAGGTGATTCCCATTGCCTTACACTAATTGTATCTGTCTGCTCAAAGTGACATCTGTATCAATAAAGCTGGAGAGTCATCATGTAACATTAACAGCATTTCCAACAAAGTATCAATAAAAAAATCAGTTCCAGAAACCTTCATTCATTCAAATTTCAAATTGAAACTTTCAAAACCTAGTTTTAAAACAAAAACATACTGTAGTATATTCCTTGAAGCCTTTCCTGGTCTACAGTTGGCTTAATCGATGCCTGGATGCCAATGATATACTATGATATTTAAAAACACAGCAAAGCTGGATTGCCATCTTCTTGTAGTTTGGAACAGTCTTGCAAACTTGCTTTTAAGCTGACTCTGTAATTAAAAATTTGTAGATTCAAATATAATAGATGAAAGATGAATTTGAGTTTATAAATAATGTCGTCATAGTTTCATGCACTCATCTTGTTCAATACAATCATAGACAAAAATAACATTAATACTCTTAAAATATCCTCTAAACAATTGTATTTAAACTTAGCTTACATTTAGGTTAAAAATATAGATCTAAAATAGTTTGTATTTAATACTTATTTGAAAAAAAACAACAACAACAGATTTTATGCATAAATGTATCTAAAATTATTTACCTGAACCTTTTTACTATCATGTTTCTTTTGTTTATCTTCCTGTACCAGGTCATTGATCTTTAGGTTCAATTACAACAACCAAACATTTCCTGAATCTTGTCACACTTAGATAAATGTTTTCTTTGAAAATTCCAAAATATGCTCCCTAACATTTAAAACAAGATATGTCCAAAATTGCTTAAAATAAATCCAGGTTTGCACTACTTCCAACTATAACCACTTGACCCATTAATGTCTGAGATTCAAATTTTTCAACAGTATAACTGAAGGGGCAATCATAATGTGAAACAGGGGTGATCCCAAAATATCAAAGCCATCATCATTTTATTTTTACATTAATTTTATTGAAGGTACAAATATATCAAATGATAAATAAAAGTAAAACTTGAAAATTATAAGAGAGTCACAGTTGCAGTGTCATTTTAGACTGTTTTGGATTGTATAAAAACCCAGCCTCCCCCTGAATAATCACATGGAACAATCTGGTCTATCCCAGAATGCTCAATGAGAAGATTGATCATGCATAGATTATAAGAGGGAACCACCTGGGGTGCCATTAGTTTTATCTGATCAGTGTGTTATATTCTGTGTGTGAAAACTTAGTGGATGCAGTATTTATTTATCTTAATTATAAGAAAGTATCAAGCATACATATTTTACACATTATTTGTACATAATTATATATTAAAAGGACAATTGATAACTATTTATGTTTATTGTACACATAATTAATGGCAGAGTAAATTGTAATGTATGTCACAGACTTGCTTAGTAGAATATACTATACTATTTTATATGGCATAAAAACATATATTAAAGATTAATAGCATTCTTATTTCAGTGTTGCTTACAGGCTGTCAAGAAACCTTAAGTTAAGTCTATATATAGAAAGAAACTGCAGGAAAAATACTGATGCATTTAGAAACTAATAGACATAAACACTGATTGTTTCTTTTTGTATAATTATAAGTTTTGCTCTTTTATCTATTCTTAAAAATGGAGAAGATATCTAGTAACAATAATTATAAATAATATAAAAAAAATATGAAAATAAAAAAAAATAAAATTTTCAAGTCTTTCTGATCATCAGTTATTTGAATAATCTTTATCTTATTATGATTAGTTACAATACCTTTATAGCCATTAATAAAAGGTATTTTATGGCAACAAGGAATTTACATTTTATTTAACTTTTCCATGTTTTCACACTTAAATTTTTTTAATTGATTCCTCCCACAAAAATGGCTTCAGAAGATTAAAGTACAAATTTATTGAAAAGGAATTACTAAAAATTGATTCCCTGGACCAAATCTCTCCTTTCCATGCTGTTGGACAATAATGTTTGCTCTGACCATGGATTAAGAAATATCCATTGGCAATCTACAGTTGGGTTGTTATCTTAGTTTGCTTTAACTGTTGATTATTGCTTTTGATGCCCATTATAAGTTAAATCATGATTATGTCTTAACATTTTCCGATATGAAATTTAGTTAAGTTCAATTATCTGAGGTCATTTCCAAGATAAATATTGGCAAAGTGTTTCCAACAAATTTTACGTAAATTTTCTAAGTTCTTTTCCGAGCAAAAAAATGACAAAGTTCTTATTTCCAAGCTTTTTCCGAGCTGATTTTTGGCAGAGTGTTTAATTCCGAGATAGTTTCCAAGGTTTTCTTTATTTCCAAGGATTTTTATACAAAAACCTTGGATAAAGTTTCCAAGGTTTTAAAAAAAACTCGGAATTAAGAAAAAACCTTGTAAAACTGGTTTATTTCCAAGGTTTTTGAAGCAGTTTCCATGGTTTTTTTCATAAACCTCGGAAAATCTACACCCGGGAAAGGACTTTGTTTAAGCCACACATGTTTGAACTGTCAGCTAACAGATATACTGAATTATCTAGCTGTGCATTTTTTGTTGAATTAAATTATACAATGTATATACAAAGTTAAGTAACAGGCAACAGTTACCTGACAAGTATACAGTATATGTTCTTATGTATGTAACTATGAATTATAATACTATACATTATATTATACTATACTATACAATTATGGATTTATTCTGGCTTTATGGATGCTAATCTTTAATCTTTATCATCAGGAAGGTTGCTTTGTAATTACTGATATTCAGATTTTACCATATTAGTACATCATTTAAACACCCCAGCTTTACCAAGCTGCCAGACCCTTAAATGACCCCAAATATAAATTCATCCTGTTGATTGTAGGGGCTCCTTGATGTACCAAATCACTAATGAAAAAGTAGCCATCCCCATAGAAGGTTATCTCACCGCTTTAGGGAGAGCCTCTTGGTATGCCCTCATGCTGAGGATGAGATATAGCTTAGGTTTACCCCATCCCAGAATAACTATTACAACATCTCATTCTTTCCAAGAAGAGTTTTCCACATTGAGCATAATTGACCATAACAGATTGCCAGATGACTTCAACTTTTAACAAACCCATACATAATATGTCAGCTAAACTCACACATAATTATTACTTAAGGTTTGTACATTGGATATCTGAATTTCCATTCAAAGTAAGCAAACACAAAACATTTGATGGGTAATGGTTAAACTAATGTTAATCTTGAATTACATGTGTTTAGTGTTAAACATGAAGTCTAACTGTCTTCACATTCATATAAAACAACCAAAATTCATTGAGAATAATATGGTATTTTCTTGTTAACTGCAAAATATTATTATTATCATCTGTAAGGGTCAGGCTGTCATTAATAATTTGATACATGCTTGTATCTTAGATACAGTTTCAGGAAATTGGCTCCAATATGTTTCAAGATGCTCTTAAAATTGATACATGCAAAGCTGTGACAAGTGGTTTTAAACATTTTCAACTCTATGTGACCCCTGAACTCACTGTTATACATGCATATTATAATGTGGTATAGAAACTCACTTGCTTAGAGAAACACTAGCCATAAATGGATGTAGTAAATTAATATATATTTTATGAAATATTTCAGGTGTGTACATTGTGTAGAGGTCAGGATGAAAGATGGCTGATAGAACAAGGGATATGCTGAGAGACAATTGGACAACATTGCCATATTTTCATGATCATTTTAAGTCAGTAGATGATGTAAGTCATAACTTAATTATTTACTATTGTTAATTAAATATTATCCTTCCTAATTGAATTATAAAGCCATATTTAAATAGTGAACCATTTTTGGCTATTATAGATATCCTATATTACAAACAAGGCACAGTGTTTTCTATTTTTGCAAGAAAGGTTAAAGTTAAAATACATGTATATATAGGCTCTTGAGATGTGCATCAGATGTAGCAGGTGATTGTAATTGATAGTGCTTGTAATTGTCAGATAGACTTGGTACAGTGATTTCATTTATTTATGGACAGGATTGTATTGTACATATGAGTCTTATACATGTACATCTATGTGTAAAATGATCTAGCAATCTGGATAAAAAAAACTGAAAAAAAAGGAGAAAAATTGTGTTGGAATCCAGAGATATTTGAAATACTTGTAACTTCCATTAGGTTATCACAGTAATGATTTATTGAATTACATTAGGATGTAAACTACATACACATACATGTAACAACATTCTTCAATAAGCCAGGTGGATATCTTACCATCTTGATAAATAAAGCATCCCTGTGAGACTTCAACACACAGCATTTAAAGCAGTATATTTAATTCGAAACTTTTACAAATCGGTATTGGAGACCTGCATACATGGATGTTTTGTTATTTAATTCAAATTAACTAAAATATCTAAAGGTGCTGAGAATATATTCTTAACTTCTTGACATACTATACAACTAATTTGTAACTGAATAAACCCAACATGTTGTTTTTCATTGTTTACAAGCTTGTATTAATATGGTACTTATTTAGAATATTCTTTATTGTTTAGGTTTCTCATTTTATAAAGAAGAAGTCTAAGGGTAAATCTGGATCATTCTTACTGCGACCTAGCAACAGAAATAGAGACCTCCTCACTGCCTCTGTTTTGTATGTATAGCCTTATTTTTGTCCTTGTTTTATAACCTTAGTACGATTTTTAGCTCGACTATTCAAAGAATAAGGAGTACCGGTACCTCGAGCATCGGCGTAACCACTTATGTTAAAGTTTGTGTACCAACTCAAATATTTTTAAAATCCATTGACATATGGCTTTGAAATTTTGCACACTTATACACCATCATAATCTCAACTTGTTTACAGGAGGAAAATACTGTATACAATATTATGCCCTACATTGTATTACTACCAAGCACTGAGAAAAGTCGAGCACGCTGTCCTACTGACAGCTCTTGTTAAATATTAGTTGGAGTAACAGTTTTTAAAATACTAAATACAAATGTATTAGAAAATAGAGTTTAATCATAATATGTTAATTGTTATTTGCAAGACGAGTTTCTTAATGATGCTGCCTCCATTTTACTTACACTTTTATAGGTGCTGAAATAACTAATAGAAAGAGCATCTAAACAGAAGGCCATCTTATTTGTACGAGGGGGCATAGCATTCTTCTCATAAGATTTGATAGTTGTTGAAATTATATCTGAATTTGGTTTATCTTGATATAGTTCGGTGATAACCAATAGGCCCACATGAACACCTAGTCATGGAGTACATATTGAAATTAAAGATTGAAATAAATCCACAACAGATTTAAAATTAAAACAAATTGATCAATATAAGAGGGTAGTGATCAAACATTATGTATAAAAGAGAGGACCTATATGTAACATTCTTCACTCTTTAATCTGTAGTAGATAGTTCTGTAACATCACTTAGACACACATACATGTGGTGTCCATCTCAACAACATTAAAGATGCAGGTTTGTTTAAAGTATTTTGATGATTTTGGAAAATGAGCCTGTTTTAAAAAAAGTACTGTTAATTTTTGGTAAAATGCATCCCTTTTTGGTTTGAATGTATATTACAATTATTGAGAATGATATTTTCATAGCTATGTTGTAATAGAAACTTTTATAGTGTCTTTTATATATATTTTTTTAACAGAGTACCAGATAAAAGTGTACGGCATACCCACATCCAGATAGAGTTTGATGCTTCCCGGGGCTGTTGGAAGTACTTCCTTGTTGTCGAAAAGAAGTTTGACAGCGTTGATCAGCTAATTGATTATTATAAGCAAAACCCTGTGAAAAATTTAGAAAATGTGAACAATGTGTATTTTCTGAATCCTATTTATAGATCTGATGTTAATGCCAATTTATATACGGAACAAAATGGGTCAAGTAGTGGCAGATTTCAATCAAATCGCACAAATAGTTTGTCAAGTTTGAGTATAAGTAGTAGAACATCTGAGCGATCATTTGACAGCTTAAAGGGTATTCCTCCACCATTACCTGTTCGACCATTGAACCGAACTCAGAGTACGGACTCTAGTAGTGGCACCTGGGGTTCAAACAGTTCACATGTTAATACTTTACCTAATAATGACATAGGCAATAGACCACCATTACCACTTCCTGAAGCACCAGAGAAGAAAGAGGATGGTGGAGCGTATGGTTACTCAAGAGCTCGAGACGTTTCTGAAGATATTTCAGAAAAACTTAAAGATGTTTTAAAATCTAGTGAACGATGTGAATGTGGCATTCCTAGAAATTTGGCAGAGTTACCTATGGGCTGGACGGTGCATTTAAGTAAAGACCCGTTAACTCGGGGAAAACTTTTCTATCAGAGCGAAGATGGAGTAACATCATGGCAACTCCCCCAGCAAGTTGAGATGCAGCTTAATAAGGTTCACATATCAAATTTAAGGCAAATTGACCAGAATTGGAATGTTCGACGTCAGAGTGGAACCTCTCTAAATAGAGTTTGAATTTGTGGTTATGAAAAATCTGTGATGTATACATGTAATATATCAATCTTGAGCTGTACCATAGTATAAGATCTATTATGATAACAATCAAGTTATTTATAATGCCAGGAAGATGTACGTATTCATTGAACAGCTATTTGATTCCTATGTAAGTGCAAAGAATGAGGTTTCAAATAACAACATTTTATATGATAAATTTATTCAAGTAATCAGTAATCATTGAGTGAAAAACAAAAGAAAATGTATGCCATGTGTGGCATTTTTTTTAAATTCAGGTGAATAATTACATAGAAAACCATAAATAAAAAAGACAACAATGTTTTATTTTTTAATCAAATTATAGCCAGTAATGTTTTTTGTATTGGCCAACTTCTATCAAAATATAGGTTAAAATTCTTAGGATATCAAATCAGTCACATGAAGATTGTTGAAATACATGCAGCATCTGAATTTTGTTATGAAGCTTATAGTTAGTTATCATTTCATGTGATCATTTTTTGAACCTGTTCAGTAAATTTAGAATAAATGTCTCTTGTCAGTTAATTTTATATTTACTATTTAAATAACAGCATTAATGATCTTTTAAACAGTCATGTATGTATATGTTAACCTGTAAAATTTTGGATAATGAGGGAGTGCTCAGGTTATTAAGGCTTCTGACATGACAATAAAGATCGAAATTGATCATATTGATATTTGCCACGTCATGACAAACCAACATAATGGGTTTGCAACCAGCATGGATCCAGACCAGCCTGCGCATCCGCACACTCTGATCAGGATCCATGCTGTTCGCTATCAGTTTCTCTACTTGTTGTAGGGTTTGTAAGCGAACAGCATGGATCCTGATCAGACTGGTCTGGATCCATGCTTGTCGCAAACCCATTATGTTTATTTTGTCATGATGTGGCTCAGTTATGAATTATAAACAAAGTAACAGTAGGGTAAATTGGCGGTTCAAATAATCTGTGTATGTGTAATACTTGTATAAATTCTAAACATTTAACCTCTTGATGGAGTGACAATTTTGATTAAAAAATATTAAAATTGATTTAACAAATTGCTTACAACTTAACTCAAGGTATAATTATAAAGTAAACATGTTAAAATAATTTTGTAAGAGAAGTTTGCTTAGAACTGAACATGTATGCTTACTTCCCCCTAGGTGCTTTATTCATTATTACAGCTTGTTTTAGTCGATAATAAATAGCAGCTTTCTTACATTTTATCATAGTGTTAAAACATTTAACTTTGATAGCAATTTATTTATTTAAACACCATATAAAAGGATTTCTGCTTTGTAGTAGTCATGATTTATGTAGCTAACAGTCATTGAAGGATTTTTATTTAAAATAAAAATGATGAAACACATTTAGGCACTTAATTGCCATTCTCAAGTCATGTTGTCTTGATGTGGTATAAGGGTTAGTATGTAGTTCATTTTTTTGATTTTATCATATTTCATGAAAACATACCGGTTATTTCTACCTTTAACCTGATTGAACGGGATGTAGTTAGACTTTGCCACAATTTAATGAAATTCCAGGTCAGACTGAACTTTCTGTGCAGTTTGACTAGGCACTTGATACTGTTGCTGGCCCAATTTTTGTGCTTGATATTTAAGTCCCTTTAACATCTCTTCAATTTTGAATGAACTCTCACCAGGCAAAACTATTTCACACATATAGCAGATTAAGGGTTAAGCAAGCAAATGGTGGATGGAGTAACTCTGATATAGTAAGATTGTTTATATTGATGTTGTTTATAATCACTTTGTTGTCATTAAATGTTGCTGAAACTTGCTCAAATATTCTGTATATTTGTCAGTATTTTTTCTGCTTACATGCACTTTAAGTAGGAAACTGTATAAAAAAATACTGTCAAAAGTTATACTTACAATTTTATTGAACAAGATCTACGTTAAAGTGATATTATGCTCATTTTTCCATTGTCAAGGTGAGCAGACTTGACCATATACACCATGTATTTCAAAAATTGACTTTTATTATGGTGACTGACCAACTGTTGATATTGAAAAATGTGTAGGATAAAATATAAATATGTTAAAAATATAAAAAGGTTGCCCCACTCCTTTTGTAAATTGAACATAACAGGTGAATAATGATAGGGAAATTTCCATAGGCCATGTGAATTATTTATAGTTCATTCGAAGAAAGTTATAAAATTGAAAGAAATTATGGCACAACATTAACTTATCTTGACTTTCAACTGTTCACTCACTATATACACTTGGATGGGCATAATGTCACTTTAAATGAATAGAACAACTGTAAGGTATTTAACTTGCTACCAAATGAATTTTAGTTAGAATCTAATCTAATAAATGTTTTCCTTGTTGACACTTGTATAAGTTAGTCAATGAAACAGATAAAAAAGTAATTATAGACACATTTTGCCTCAGAAATTCATATTATTTTCATTCACATGGAAAACTGTAATAAGATACCAAAAATAAACAGTTTTTGAGAAATGAAAATGTTACCATTTCTGAGGCATAATGGGCCTTAATGTAAGCAGGGTCTTTCTATTTTAAAGACCCTGATGTAAGACATAAGAACTTGATTCACAGCTTATATTAATATGTATCAACTAACAATCTATTTCAGCTATTTCATATTGTGAGATATTTATTTTAAAAAACATTTTGGTAAATTGATAAAAAATGAGATTTCAGCGTAACAACCTTTTATTTCATGCTTTCCAGTGTTTTATTGTAATATATCAGATGATTATATTCTGATAAACCACTAGTGGAATTTATAGAATATAATTTTCACTGTAGCCAGACTATATCTGAATGCCGATGAAAAGAGAATCATAACAAAATGGAATAACAGGCAGAAATAAAAACTGTCATGCGTAAATTTTGTTTCTTTAGGAAAAGAAAGTCGATGTCACCATACATTATGTTAAAAATGTAACAAAATTAGAGAAATTTAACAGAACTATATTTCAAAATTGATGATGTGACGTCATGATGTGATGACGTCACAAAGCAGAATGCGCGACGTTACGCGGCAAAATCAGTAAAAAATACATAAAATCACTTAGAAAGCATGAAATAAAAAGAAAATTTATTTGTTTTACATATAAGATTGAAATATATTTCATTCGTGAACACCAGCTATTATATTTTCACTCGTGGCTACGCCACTCGTGAAAATATTGCATCTGGTGTTCACTCAGTGAAATTATATTTCAATCTTACATGCAAAACAAACAAATATCCTCTATGTATTTGTGAACTACATTTTTATTTACAAAAAATCCTAAAATTGTATTTTTGTATTGGTTGCTACTAATTTTGATCTAATACAGTTTGACTATGTGAATTTTGTATTATTTGTGATTGATATGGAAAAGTTGACAATTACTTGTGGAAAAACTGGACAATGCAGGCATGAATCTGGTACAGTAACTGGCAGCTAGTACACAATTGAGCCACGCCATGACAAAACCAACGTAATGCATTTGCGACCAGCATGGATCTAGACCAGCCTGGACATACGCGCAATCTGATCAGGATCCATGCTGTTTGCTTACAAACCCTTTACCAAGTAGAGAAACTGACAGCAAACAGCATAGATCCTGCGCGGATTCGCAGGTTGGTCTGGATCCACCCATTATGTTGGTTTTGTCATGGCACGGCTATTATATATTACTGACACACTGTAATAAAGTATGTTGCTACTTTATGGCCTGCGGTGTCTTCACCAACATTCAGTTTAGAGATATGTCTGTGCAGGAATTGAACACTTTCCGTACATGTCTCAAAATTGTATATACTTTATTTATTTGTTTGTTTTCATGCACTATAGTATATATATACATGTATATTCACACTATACTTGTATCCTCTTGTTTTTCCTTGGCATAAAAAATATGGTAAAATTGTACAAAAATTTAATTGTCTTGTATGCTAACAACTTACACAGTCACGTTAAGGTGTTTCTTGGAATGAATTTTTTTTTTATGCCATGATCAGCCCCAATTTCAATCATCATGGCATAATTATAGAAATTTTGAATTTTATTTGTGCATACAAAATAAGTTATTTTGGTAAAAATTATTTACATTTTTAACTTTTTATTTTTGACCTTTAATTAAAAGAATTTTTTAACCATTTGATGCAGGTCTGGGGATCAATTACTTGTGTGCAAAATTTCAGATCATTTGCTCACTCTGTTTCATCACAATAATTGTTTAATTGTGACCAAAATATTCCAAAAATTAACACTTTTAAACACATTCAGCGGAGTTCCTGTTAGCTTACCATGATAGGTAGTTACTGAAAGTAGTATGAACTCCTACAGACAAGGTTAGACTTTATGGTTTTGAGCAATGTTCTGTGATTTCTCAAAAAGTGTGCTTAAAATTATTTCTCAGGGAAGCGGTATCGTCAGGATATCAGTTTTTTTTTGTTTTTTGTTTTTTTTCTATGAAAGCGGAAGCTTTATTTAAGGCCAATTAAGCCTCAGAAATCTTTTCATTTTTTTTTGTTCTTTAAAACAGGCAAATATGTGTTTGATAATATTTTGATAATAGATTTAGAGCAAGTTAGGTACTAAGTTAAAATGGTGCTTAGAACAAAGTATTGCTGACTTTCTTATCAAGGTACATGTAGTAAAATGTAAACAAAGTGGTATTTTGACTTCCATACAAAAAAAACTATGATAAATAGCAATAACTTACATAATTACCAAAAGCGCAATACAAGCAAAAGATGTATAGGCAATGAGTAACATTTCAGAATCTATAACAGCACACCATTGAAAAATAAAAATAATTTTGGGGGTTTAATGGGCCTTTAAGTAAATGTTGTTAAGGAACATTTCCGATTTTTACCCTGACTGTTATTAATATTTCCTGATTGTCCTACATGTATATAGTTTTTGAACCTATGACTTTTAGATAAATCTGTTTCCCCCAAACCTTTACCAGTCTTCATCCATTATGTTACATGTTCTGCCTTTCCACCCGTATACGAATGTAAATTAAAAGTTGACTCGGTTTTTGAGAATTTAACCTTTTGCTTAATACCTTATATGGACCTTAAATTATGGACTTGTAAATCTTGACAGAACCATTTATCATATTTAGGAAAATTTCAAAATAAGAACAGACTGAATAGGGATGGTGCAGACCATAAGTACATGGCTTATTTGGTCCAAACTGGTTACATGGGTAAATTCATTTGCTGCCATCAGGCTAAGGTTAAAAAGGGATTGGAAAGCTTTTGAAAAAAAAAAATCATATTGGAAATTTTTCAATATGAAACAAAATTAAGCAATGGGCAAATTTCTCTTTTACACAGTCTATAGGAAAAGACTTGGTATGTCCAAAAATAGATGAATTTTTCCACAAAACTTTTTTTGTTTTTTCTTGTTTTGAAGTTAACATAAATTAATCTCTTAATGTTTAAGTTGTAATGCATCTAGTATAGTATATGGCATTGTTGGCTCTTCCAGAATTTTAAGATTCATTGAAATATTTCTGGTTAACGATGTACATACGATGTTTGTAGTTCTTTAGTGAACTGTTAAAGTGATGCTGTAAATTAATTACAAGTTACTTTATAGATTGGTTTTTAATTACCGACAGAGAAATTAGAATGTAGAATGTTATAATTGAACTGTTTCACACAGGCCTGTAGCCAGAGTTTATTGTGACACTGTAGTAACTTGTACCTTGGTTTTGACCCAATGATTTGTGCAGTGGACAAGTTAGTATAAGCAGATTATTTCGCGTGTCAAAAAGTAAGCAAATTCAAAATTCCAGACATTTCGCATGATGAAATATTCACGAATCATACAAGAGTAGATTTTAACGACAGGTTGGTTGATAATTTCGCTATTGGAAATTTCAGGGATTTTCATCAATTTTCGAAATTCGTCAGTATTTCCGTGGGGCTTTGTTAACCACTTATACAGTACTTCACTTGTAAGCTCTAACTGTCCATTCTTAATGTAAGGGATTTCACTATGAAAAATTAAATTATGAAGGACATCTTAGCTTATTTCTGGTGGCACTTCTTGTAATCAGAACTGAAGGTGAAGGTCCCGCGAAATTGCAGCAGTGTTGAATATAAAATTCACACTTGCATTAAATTGTTTGCATATATTAATTAGATGATTGATTATTATTGTATATGATATAGTATAGCTCTTCGCTTACTAGATTTCTTGTCAAAATATACCTGTATTCAAGTGCTAAATTTATTATTGTTAAGTTTATCATTTTTTCACCAATAAATACATATTTTTGCACGCTTGCTGTATGGAGAATTTTGTTTGTTCAATAATAAAGTACATTGTATAATGAACTTATTATTCATAATGAACTTCTGTTTAAATCATTCCAGCATTATTAAAAATATTTGCATGCTTAAACAAAATACTCAAACTAACCAATTTCTTACTTTTTTCTGTAAAATAAAAGTGACTAAACAATTAGTTGTGACTAAAGATGGTTTGAAGCTGATGTTTTTAACTTTTTTTCTTCATTCTAAAATGTGATTTGATTCTAAGGAATAATATGTTATAGCTTATACAATGTACATGATGATAAGAAATGAGCAACAAACAACATGTTTAATGTGGATAAATATTCAGTTATGTTTGCTGAATTTATTGATGCACCAGTAGTTAAAAAGCTATTTTATTGCCAGTCATATTTATGCAATGCCATGTCAAAAAGTACTTGTCTAAGACATTTATAAAATGAACGGAATGCCATAAACTTGCTGTAACAATGTTGTTTTTCTAATACTGGTGTAGATTTGTTTGTTTCATAAGAATTGTGTTGAAGATATTGATTGTATAATACTCAACGTGTGATAACTTAAGTTTTGCGTTTTATTTGTTTAAACTTTTCTTAAACAATTTTTATTTAGAATCATTTATATGTATTTTAATGTTTATGAGATATGGCATCCAACCTTTCTGGCCATATATTATATTTTGCACATTTATGAAATGTTTTGAAAACTGTTATATTCAGTTTATTGCACAGCTTATGAGAAAAACATATTACAGTTACATCTTCTGCAGAAAAACATCAAATTAAAATAATTTTAATTTTGTTGAAATTAAAAATTCCCCAAAAAATTTTTGGAACATAATTCCCATTTACATTTAAATTTTTTTTAAAATAATAGTAAATATTCAAATT